AACAAACTACATAAAAATAATTTTTGAATTCCCGATTCAAAAACTAGAAACTTCGGGCTACAAAATGCTCTGTCACAATATTTTTTATAGCTATTTTTCGCGAAGATATAGGCATCTGAAAATGACCAATATTTTCGGCAAATTTTAGTGATGCTTTAATTTTGGCACCCAGTGTATATCTATCTTTTAAGTTCTACTTATTCTTGTGCGCCACGGATTCTTCCTCATTACCCATATATCATTTTTGTCAAGAGAATAATAAGATCCTAGGTACAGGTAGATAACTGAAGATTGTCTAATAATATTATATCTACTAATATTAGTGTCTTAATTTCAAAAGTACAACTTTCTAAAATCGTTCCGTAATTTACAATTAGTTAGTATGCTCAAAATTGTAAATTACAATTTTCAACGACATTCGTTTGAAGTGATATCGTTTAATTGAAAAATTAAAAAAACAAAAAATTGGATTTATTATGGCGAGTACTTTCCATGTGCGCATTGAAATCGCTGCAGCAATCATAACCGTCAAAACAGACTCCAGTCCCGTCACTATTCATATTAAAGCCGAGAAAGTAAGATACATTCGCGGCTACCGCGCGCGCGCAGAATAGTGTCAAGTACAACCCACGGAAGCAGAAACGTGAGAACGACCGTCAGAAGGACGCGGCCCGATCATTAATCATAACATCGGTTATGGCTGTTCGTAACTGTAGCGTTTTTCCCGGAGGTTCGAATATCAGCAGATTAAATCGAGATAGCTATACTGATGTGAGCACGAACGCGCTCTAGTGCGTGTTTGTTGTTGTACTGCGATTCGAATCAGCCGGAAAGTGTGTTGAGCACTGAAAAATATTGTCGACTCACGGGAGTATGTCCAACAAGTGGCTCGAACGCATTGACAAAAAAAAGTGCTTTCAGAGTGAAACGCGGCTCAAGGTTGCCATCCATTATTCGACCATTAATTAACCCCATTTTCGTAAAGATTACCGGTTTAGATTACCCGTGGACACATAAATTGCAATTGTTTCAACTAAAAAACAGAGATAGGAATCATGGATCTACGTGGCCATGAATAATCTACTGTTTTCTACCAGAGTAGTATTTACTTTCTAAGTCTGTAAAAAACTGGTGCTAACCAGACAGCTTGTATCGCTATCCTCGAGGGACTAAAGCTACTTAAAAGAAAAACTTGTTTCAGGTGTCATAAAACTAGCCATACCTTATTATTTTCGTAGCTAAATAATATAGTTATACATCTGTAACGTAGATGTAAACTCCCGCTCATAAGTATTAGGACACTTACCGTACATAAAATAAATGTTACAAAGCATTACAAAATTGCTGAAATCCTGAAAGAAATATTGTTTAGGGGATATTAATGACTATGAAGTAATAAAAGTGGCATGAAATACATCATTTCTATGAAGCATCACATTTTCATCCTACGGAACAGATGCCCCAATACTTATGGGTGGAAATGGCCATGACCTGGCACATTACTATACCGCTTTTGCTTACCCTCCGCTGATGGCAACGATCTCCACTAAAGGCTAGTTGAAAGAAATGAAAATACATTAATGTGAAAGTAAAATTCACTACTTAACTTTACATTCGTATTACCATATTATACTCTGACCCATCGAGGCATGCCTCTAGCATAACAAATTATCCGGCAATAAAAGACAGGAATCATCAAAATGAGGATAATAAAAGTTGCCAGTTAGTTCCCGACAAGACCAAGTGATACGCATAATGTCCCCGATTGTTGTCGGTATCGGTCGACCACGAATCTGTGGAATTTCTAAACACGGAGACAGAAGGTGTGCGCCTGGCAACATACCGCGTCTATTTCCGTCTTCCAGGTATCATTTTCTTTCCCCGATTGCGACACCCGTTCGTAACTCCGATTCGTTACGTTAAGTATCCCGAGCGACATGATTGAGTCCCTGCTCTGTCCCTTCATCCCCCCACATCGCGAGGTGTACGCAAAGAAGATAGAGACCAGCCGATAGTCGAACGTACGCAGCGTGCGCGTACTTGTCGTGCTTCGAAGGTGGTGGCCGAGTCCGTTCACGAGCGTTTGAACTCCGACAATTACAAGCGAAACACGGTGGACCTCGCTATAAATAGCGGAGTACGAACGACTAAGAACGAGGGAAGAAGAGATAAACGGATAGAAGACTCACGGTGTGTGATAGTGTTAGAGCACGAGAAGAACAGCGTCATACACGTACGATTTCGGATTCAGTGAGAAACACGAAGGCCAACACACGGAAACAACGACAAGGGCTGGTAGAACGGCGCAGGAACTTGAATCTCCCGCCGTGTGGAGTGCCAATCGTCGAGCACCGTGGTCGTAGGTGTATACCCGCCAATCGTCCGTGATGCTGCACGTGAAAACCTTCGCTGTCGCTGCAACATCGCCACTAGTTGTCGAAAGTCTCCTCTCGTCGTGGTTGTTTCGCGTGTCCAGCAGCCATGTTGTGTCCAGTGGTACGACCGGTAAACGCGTCCTTCACAGTATCCCAATATCGCGTGAGGTCATGCTCGAGAACTACCAGAAGGCGCACGAGAAGTACAGATGTAAGTACGAACGCTGGCTGCAGCCATCTTTCCATCTGTCTCTCTCCGTACCACGTTCGTCGACTCGTGTCTCGTCCCGATCCACGTCGCGTGCGTCACACCGCGCATGCGCACTCGCCGCACGAAACTGCTTCGATATTTCGAATCGATGACACTGGCCGCGCGGGACCTTGATGCCCCCCCGTTGATCGCGTGTCCCCCCGTGTGCGGAAATTGTAATTGATATGTCAATGAATCATCCCTACTCTGCGCTTTCAGGAAGCGTTCGATCTACGCGCACGGTCTTAAGGGCAACGTTATCGTTAAATGTTACGAGAGCGTGACAAGCGGAAGTATTTGCATATTTGCGCGGACGTTGATTGTACGCCTGTTTGGCGGGCCTCCAAATGTCTTCGGCGCGTCTATTAACGAACACGTTGCTACTAACGATCCCCATGACTTTGTAAAATATGACTGGCTTTGTATCTACAAGGCGTTTTACTAGAAATAGGGATAATCTTAATGTGGTCTGGATTAATGTTTTGGTTATCAGGTTTAACACTAGGATTACCAACGATAGATGTGGGCTATTTCTATCGTATCCGAACTTTTGAAATTATGCAAATGTACAAATTAGCTAATTTCTTAATTTTCATATTGTAATGAAAGTTATGAAACATCTGAGAAAATCCGTTGTTGTAACATTTAATCGTCGTCATAAAAATGTACTAACCCATCATTTTGACTGCTTTGATAGGTCTAGTCTTAAACATGGCGCGACAAAAAATTCTTTCCTGTAACCACCGTCTTTGATATTATAAGCTTTAGTAGTGTTTTTTTAATGGAATATAAGTGGAAGATGAGTATAACAACTATAAGTACACTGATATTTTCTTATAATCAAGACTTTAATAATTTGCTTACTATAGTTTTCGAAAGTGACGCCATTCAGATACCGGATTACAAGTGACATCGTTTGATAACATTATATGTATACATATACACAAGGCGGTCCGTTATTGGTAATACACCCGATTAAGGAATGATTCCTCGTGAAAAAAATACGTCAAAAATATACAACAAAATCTCTTCATATGACGTTCTGCTTTTGAGAAGTTAGCCTTTCAAACATTTGATACGCATGCACTCCTGCTAGCAGTAAGTAGAAACGGTATCTAATGAACAGACACGCAAGTCGAGTCCTATTAAATAACACGTGTACGAATCAAATTTTCAAAGCTATTTTCTCGAAGAAGAATTTCTATTTATAGAATCTTTATTTTAGTGTTTCGATTTACTTTTCATGAAGATTTATCCTTTTGCTGATTGTATCGTCGGTGACGGACAATTGTGTTCACAAGGTTCAGTAAAGATAGTCTAAAAATAAGGAAACAGTATTACTTAACCATAATACAATAACAGGCTTACTGTATTACAATACAGGAATAGATCAGTGATGATTACCTAACGTGTTTACTTTAATTACGTTTACTGTTTGAAATGATCTTTGGTAGCCTTTATGACAGCATGAATTCCATCAATTTGAAAGTATTATCATACACAAATATGCATAATTAAATTAACACACAGCGAAAATCCTAGCCGTTGGCGTTAGGGTTATTAAAATTCATTGGATTTCCACAAACCACTGGTAAGATGTCGGTCTATTACTTGCTGGTTCTACTTATAATACATAACGATGATGATACTGTGCTATGTTTTCTGTCGGTTTTACTGTCTCGAAAACAAATACTACCGTACTCCTGTCACTGTTTATAAACATTAACACAAGTAGGACTCCCCTGTAACGGACAGACATATCAGCTACAAGTGGTGTCCTATCGTGTCTTTCTGAGTAACTACTTCCAGTTTTCTTGGGTATTTCTAAGTAATTACGTTAATATGTTCGAAAATAAGGTATTACAATTTTTAAATAGAATTAAAGGGCAAAATTTTGCAGAATATATATCACTTTTAGCCTGTCCTGTACGTTCGCCAGATCTAAATCTCATTGAAAATTTACGAGCTTATTTTATCTGATAACAGCCCATTTTCAACTGTAAATGATCTGAAAACCGGAAACATCCAAGAGCGAGACAACGTGGAAAATAGATCCTTGTATCATAGAAATACTTCATTAGAAGTATGAAAGATAAAATTTTTCAAATAATAGTAATAATCCAAATAAAATGAGCTTTATTTGGGGTAGGTGCAACCATGAGAAACGCTATTGGATCAGTATTCTTAGAATAACAATTTATTATTTTCACTGAATTATCGTAATTACTGTTGTATATTCACAGAAACCCCATACAGTAGCAAACAAAAAAACTACCAGTTTTTTCGACTTGTTTTATTTTTATTATTTTTTAACGTCGACTTTAAAGTCCAGTATGCGTTTAATATACAAAAATTCTGATAGAAAATTAAAAGCTGCATAAAACCCAGTATATTAAGATTTTAAGTTGATATTAAGAAGTAATAGAAGTATAAAAAATCAAAAAAGTGATTACAATTTTATTCGTTACTGTATCTACATAAACTACAAATTTTATTGCATTTATAGCACACAGAAGTATGTGCAACACACTAAAGGACAAAAGTTCGATCGAGTTTAATAAAATTTCTTATTCTACTTTTATCCCATTAATATCCCTGAGAAGAAAGAATTTGTGATTTTTAATCCCATCTTTATAAATCACTTCGTAAAATTACATTTTGCATAGAAATCACAGTCTACTCATATCATTCAATTTTTAACTAGTTAAACGCCATCGTGGAAAAAAATGATGCTGCGTTTGATCACTGCGTAAGAAAAGGTCGAGTCTGAAGGACACAATATCCATACTAATACAGATGGTCGATTATTATATTACTTGGGATACAAATGGCGTTTAACGTGTTAAGCTTTTCCTTCGCACTGTTGTCATATGGCTACGTATTCTAAATTACAACATAAAATATTAGTACATATTTTTTTTCATATCTGTGAGTATATACTAGTTTGTTCTAGTCTTGTATAGGTAACATGACACAAATTTTGATATGCTTTTATCGGTAAAGTAAGACATTATTGTCCTTTGTTTCTTTCATTTGCTGGAAGCCATGTGTTGTGTATTGTTAGAAATACAATAAGAACTTATAGAATTGTAATTTCTTTTAAATATTTCAATAGGGTTCACTGATCAAAAGTAACAAAAATGGGTTTAATTATGTATAATAATTTTATGTCAACTATTATACATAACTGAATGAGAAATGGCACTAAAAAAGCTTTTAAAAACTTTCTGATATTTTTTGAATCATTTATATGTCATGTAATATAAACAAAAGTTCAAAAAAAAATATTTTTTCGTAATTGTTAAATAATTCCGGAATGAAAAGGTTAAAGTGCTACGAATAGAATTTACGAAGCACACTGCATTTCTGAAAATAAATCATCGTATCAATAAAAAAGTGTATCGATTCATTATTTTCACGTAGCTATCTCGCCCATTGACGAATATAGTATACATACAACTCGAATTTCGAGCAGTAAGGTGATCGGAGTGGAACTTCTGAACAGGATGTGTAGAGAAGAGTCCTCGATACCAATTCGATCCGCCGACAGAGAGCGTTCGGTGAAATAATTGAAGGAGGAGAAGCCGACTATCAGAAATTTGTATCTCGAAGTTAATTAGTAGCAGAACACGCAGTGGAGACGAGTCGGACTGAGTCGGACGGGGCGTACCGGGCAGAAAAATCTAGGACGGTGAAAAGCGTCTCGTATCGGGCATCTACGGAACAAAACGAGAGCGCGGCGGGGTTTTATCCTAACTTCGAAGGCTGACAAAGGAACGTGTTTTGTACTGTTACACAGGAAAACGAAAAATCTTGTATGCGCTTTGTAGTCCACCTTGCCCTTATTAACCCCTTCAGTGTCGAATTAATGCTAAAAGCTAGAAAAAGTATGTTTTTATATATTTTACTCTATTTAGGTTCAAATTATATTAAAATAATATTTTTTTGAACTTTTCTTTTTTATGTGTATGAAAAAAGAATCGTGCATAATCACGCATATCCGTTTTTGATGGCTATATAATGCAATTTTGGCAGTGCGTAAAAAAACAAATAATGCAAGTGACCAATTTCATTCATTCTTTAGATTATATAAATACAAAAAAATTGAAAAAGACCTTACTTTATCTTCCCGAGGATGGCTTCTCCGTGGTGACTTAATTATGAAATGTCTCAGGAACCGATGAACACACAACCCCGCCAATTTTAGATTATGTTCTCAAATGTTGCCAATATCAAAACACCAACAAAAAGTAAAAGAATATTGAGTGTAAGTACTCGAAAAAAGGATTAACTTATATATACATAATTTTGCACGCGGAGTTTGAAGGAGTTTAAAGTGAATAACCATAAGTATCCGTTTGTTTATTTATCAAAGATACAGAGCACTCAAAGTTGGAGAAACGGGTGACAGTGTATTAAATGACGAATGGGAATAAAACAAAAATGATTGCTTTTATTTGATTTTTTTTATTACAAATACCCTTCAGAAATCAATTCTTTCTGCCAAGAAACTATATTTGGTGAATATTGTTACGATTCAACGTACATATTAAATCGTAAGAATATACAATATACAATTCAATATACACATTGAACCGTAACATTATTTATAAACTACAATTTATTGCCAGAAGGATTTGATTTTCGAAGGGTACTTATAATAAAGAAAAATCAAATAATGCAGTATTTTTTGTTTTGTTCTAATTCGTCATTTGATACAGTATCACCTATTTTACTAAACCTTGATGCCCCGTGTCTTGGATATATCGAAAAATGGGCCCTTACAGTTTTTCACTTTTGTGAGGAGATTCTGGTGTATCAGTTCTAAAAGCAAATGATGTTTGCGAATTTTTTGTTGAGAGAACTATTAATAATATGACAGTAAACAATCTTGAAATATAAGAAGCCAACCTTAAATTATAAAAAAAATTTTTTGTTTCAATTCTTAAAAAATATTATGAATCAACTGTACGCGTACCACGACGGTCGAGCCTGGAATTTACAACTCCAGGCGGATTCGAAAGAGAATCCGCGCGGATGGACGCGACACGTAAATTGTAAATAAAAATCTTATTTGTTTGAAAATATGAAATAAAGATTGCGCTGCAGCCCATGAAAATCGATTACCTGAAAAAAAATTATTCGATTGGTTCTTTTCATCTGAAATACAAAACTAAAATGATTCCTAAATTAATCAGGCATGGCTATCCTAGATACCACATTTGGGTTGGAATATTAACAAAATTTTAAATGGCTGCAATTTGAAAATTAAGTATCGACTTCTGCGATTTTTTTCGTCCCTTTGAAAAGAGCGGACTGTAAAATTAAAAAAGAAAAAAAATTTGGTATAATTCTAAGAGAGACGATAGCGACACATCTGCTGAAGATGTGTGCACAAGATAGTCCCCATCGGTCAAGTCAAATTTGAGATATCTTGACAACTATTTTTCAGAACACGGTTTTTCAAAAAACGCATTTAAAGTTTCCATGCGGTATGGGCGCGCAGTGTGTGCGTCATCCTTCATTCTTCTATAGGTTTGACAATTTTATGAATTTCGCTACAATGCTTCGGGAACACATTTTCAGGATCCGAAGCTATAAAAAGATGCAAGAAAAAGAAAATCGATTTTTTTGACCGGCTACAGGTGAATACCCCTTTAATAAGTATTAAGTGGACTACAGAATGCAAATAAGATTTTTCATTTTCCGGTGTAACCGTACAAAACGTTCCCTTGTGAGGGGAGAGAATAACGCGACAGCACGCGTTATCCTGTCGTATTAAACGGACACGGTGCAAGGCCGCGAGCTAGCGCAAAAGTCACGTGCACGCGGATCGTATTCCGCGTTCGGCCGTGTTCATCTTGATAGAGCCTATCTGAGGTTACGCGAGAACATTAAACAGAGAAAGAAAGAGAGAGGGAGTAGTACCGTCTGGCCCGTTTTTAAAATTATGCCACACGCCCGATGCCGCGAAACGATAAGAAAAGTAGAGGCATTAACGAGCGTGCAAATAATGGTCGTATCAGGAGATCCTGATGCACGCGCGTTTAATTATGTATGGAGAGCTGTTTCGAGGTTGCGGTGAATTCGTATCGGGATCGAGAATTAATAAACGCACTTAGGTGTGTTTAAGAGTCGGATGGAAGAATTTCTTTCAGTGTAGGTGATTATAGGTTGTCAGGTATGTTGATATGCGGTAAAGTCGGTGATACAAAGAAAAACAATTGAAGGACTACAGAGAAAAATAACACTATATGACCTACCTAAAGTAAAGGAAAATAAAATAGTATAAGAAACAAGTGGTTCATGCTGCTATATAATAGAAAGAGAAAAGAAAAACAGATGAATCTGTCTGTAAGGACATATCGAATTTTAGAAAAAAGTTTATTCGTATTGGGCGTCGTTGTCGAGAAAATCAGACTTTGAAGATTCACTTGATAAGCATCTGGTAGAGTAGAAACGGTCAGTAATGGAAAGGCACGTTAACCGAAAGTCGATTCTTTAAAAAATTAAACTTTTACGGAATAATTTAACAATTTCGATATGTTTTTAAACGAGGAATCAATTCGTAAACATTTGTAGGACTAATACTATCAAGCCCGTTACGTAACGTTATAAATGTATTATATGTAACATTAGAAGTAATACATATTGTTTTAATGTAAGTGAAGAAATGTTATTCGAATTGTTTTTATATGTAGAATTATCTCTTTTTCAGTTGTATCACAAATTCTGTTGACCAGGATAGAAATTACAAAAGTTTGGAATTTGGAACTCTTTCTTAACCCTTTCGCTACGAGCGGTGACTATAGTCACCCAGCGCCTGACGTTCACTATTTACGGGTATTCACTATGTATGCTTGCTTATTGTTATGTGATAATTTGTTATTTAATAATTTGTTAACCCTTTCCTTTCTACGAGCGACTACAGTCACTCTGCATAATATGCAGCGGTATTGAACGTACAGCAGGCGATTTTAGTTCTTCCGCAAGTGCACACTTGCGCGGCGGCCCGTTCCGCGGAAGTACCGCGCCGTAGAATCCGTCCGTAGCGAAAGGGTTAAGGAGTTACATAGCTTTGACAGGTCAAAAGATAAGGTTATTTTTAGACATGTTTTTCTCACATAAAGAAACGTTTTATTTGAAAATTAAGATGTGTCTTTTTGTGTATAAATTAAGTTGAACTCTCTTATTAAAAGAAATTTGATATCTTAAGAAATGATACTGTGGCAGCATCCCCCAAGGCCTTTTCATAGTTACAGCATTTGCGGTAACGAAAATATCTCGGAGACAGTACTGGATCGATTTAAATAAAATTTAGTATAAATATTCTTAAGACTATAATCCAGTACTTGACGAGAAGATTTTTTTATTCGTGTTTTGTTTTTCATTCTATTAAAAAAAGAAAATGAAAATTTAGGTCGAAAATCGCATGCTTGACTTTGAGTAGCTGTCATTTTTCAAAATCGTCTTCGACAAGTATTAGTGTTTTTTGTGTAGATTCTAGATGAATGTGAAAACACAAGAAAATATTACCGATAAAATCTTACAGAGATATTTATGTTACCGCAAATGCGCTGACTGTGAAGAGACCTTGGAAGAAGGAGCTACTACGGTATCATTTCTCAAGATATCAAATTTCTTGTGACCCTTTCATTCCCAATTTATTTAAAAATTATCAAGAAAATATTTTGTTGTATTTTTGTGTATATTAGACGACATATAAATGATTCAAAAACATTTTAACATTTTGAGACTGTCTAATGCGACTTTTCATTCTTTGCCGTTTGACAACTTTGTTACTTTTATAACAGTTAGATATAATAATTCTCACTATAATGTTATTATTCATAATAAAACCCAATTTTTCTTACCTTTGTTTTAGTTAGTATTGAAGCTTTTAAATGCACATTAAAGTTTGTACTATACCATCTATATAAGACTAGAAGAAACTATTATATACTCACAGATACGAAAAAATACACGATACTAATAAATTATTTCATACCTAATTTAGATTACGTAGCCATACAGCAACAGTGGTAATGAATGGGTTAATAAGAGAATACAGCTTAATTTATGCACAAAACGATGTATACCTTCATTTAAAAGAATTTTTGTAATTTTTTGTATATAAGAGACAAAATTCATAAAATCAACCCTATTTTCCGACCTATCAAACCTATATGTATAACCCCCCCCCCCCCAAATGAGAAAATTCTCAATACCAGGTCGTTAAAGATACAATTTCCACGACTGTTCAGCGAAAAAGCTACCCCGAGACGTGAATCCAAAGGGGGTGTTCGCCTGCAACGAGCTCGACCTAAAGGAGGTCCAGGTCTACGGATTCGATTACGACTACACGTTGGCCTGCTACAAACCCTCCATGGATTACTTGCTTTACAATCTCGGCCGCGACATGCTCATCCAGAGGTACAAGGTACGCGCGAAGCTTCCATTTAGAACTGCGAAAAATGCCCGTGTCTGCGAAACGAGACGACGGCCGACGGGAACTTTCGAGCAGACGCCGTCGCCGCCGCGGCAACTCTAATTCGCGACGGGCGACGCGACGAAACTTCGTCGTAACTCGTTTCTGCTCGCGAGTTCCGGGGTCTGCTCGTCAGCGCAGACGTTTTCTCGAAAATCAAGCGACAATTACGGTCCGAACGAGAATTTCAATTGAAACTTGAGGCAAACCCACCCACCAAACCTTATTTAATCGGTTGTACCAGTACCCGGAGGGAATCGGCGGCCTCGAATACAAGGAGGATTTCGCTGTACGGGGTCTCCATTACGACATCGAAAAGGGTCTGCTGCTGAAGCTCGACAGCTTCTTGCAAATTCAATTCGGCGCCGTTTACCGGGGTTTACATCCGGTCCCGGACGACGAGGTCCTCAGGCTCTATAAGAACAGAATAATACCGATCGCCTACGTGGAGGCGCCGCACAAGCACTCCCATGTAAGCACCCTCGGCGATTAGTGAGTATGATTCTGTGGGGTTTAATGAAAGAATCTCTTTCGTTTGGTCTTGACCGATCCATTGTTAACTGTGAAAATTGTTTCCTCTTGTTTGTTCGAAAGATTTCAAAGTACGAGGGGTGTTTCCAAGAATTCTGGGAATTGCGATCTGTCTGAACACTCCAGGGGTATTGACTAATACTTTCAAATACAGACAAGTCAGACTTTCCGAACGGTGTTAGTCAATATCGATCAGAATGATTTAGCCGCTTGGCAAACATACACAGTGTATTCAAAAAGTTCCCGGAGTTATGTTTACTAGCAAAAAGATTTATAGGTAGACATCATTTTATTGTTTAATGTTCTACATAGTTTCCTCCTCTGTTGATGCACTCTTGATGACGTTCATAGAGTCGCCGGAAACATCTGGAAAAGTCTTCGACCGAAATACCGTTTAACGTCGTTGTCACTTTCCGTTTGATTGCTTCCTCATCCTCAAAACGAGTTCCTTTCATGGCTAGGTTCAATTTTGGAAATAGGAAATAATCCGCTGGAGACAGATCTGGTGAGTACGGAGGGTGCATCAGAACCGTGACTGACTTTTTAGCCAAAAATGAAGACACAGTTAGCGATGTGTGAGACGGAGCGTTATCGTGTGACAGAAACCATTGACCGAACTGGTGTTTTTTTTCCAAGTTCGTCATGAAGGATAGCATGAACACTTCCAATACTTATTTTCAACTCTTCTGACAACATTTCGATGGTCATACGGCGATCTTTCAATGAGAAGCTGACGAACTCGCTCAACATTTTCGTCCGTTCTGCTTGTCGACGGACGCTCTTTCCTTGGGTTGTCTTCGAATGACTTGCAACCATTCTTGAAACGTGAATACCATTCAAATACTTGCGTACGACGGAGACAGTCACTTCCATATGCATTTTGCATCATTTGGTATGTCTGTAGGACTTTCTCCACTTAAAAAACAAAACCGTATCGCAGTTCTTTGCTCCATCACAAAAATTATTACAACAAAACAAAACTGACAAATTCTAAATGTGCTCTGCAGACAAACGACTAAATCTTTTAAGGTTAAACGAAGCTGATAAACAAAAGAAGATCTATAGTCGATAGATTTAGCCCTATCATGTAATAACAGTCCGGGAACTTTTTGAATACACTGTGTAGATGTGTTTTTAAGTGGTTAATTTTGCAACTATTGAAGAAGTTGTATGTTCTCAAAGAACCAGTATTTTCTTAAAAGTTAATTTAGTAATTATCAACTGGTGTCAAAATTGAAAAAACCTCTACGTGGTGGATGATTTCAGGATTTAAATGACTTAATGAAGAGATTCCCAAAAAGTTATTTCAAATGGCTTGAAAAAACTAATTTCACGCTTGGACCAATGGATACAGTTAAACGGAAATTATATTGAAAAATTATAATGGAATATTAACGAAAATTAATAAAATAAGCAATTTATACGAGAATTCCCAGAACTTTGGAAACACTCCTTGTACTATAGGATCTCTAGTACTGTAGAGATTTATCTTCATTCGAGTACAGTAGACCCTCGTATAACTCGGATTCGTATAACACGGCAGAAAAATTGTGACACGGTAAAACAGGCTTATAGAACACGGTAGGTAAGTCTGCGTTTTCATATTCTAATGGAAACTACCGTATTTTTTTGAAAACTATAGCATTTGATTGAAATATCTACAACGGACGTAAACGGAAAAGTCATCGAAATCAAATCGGCGCCTAACGTGTTAATATTCATTTTACATCTTTTATAATAGTCCGTTACGTCTTATGTAAATATCTGTTTCCATATGCATACACAAACCATATACAGTAGCGGACCAAAAAGTTACCACTTTTTCGTTTTGTTCTATTTGTATTATTTTTTAACATCAATTTAAAACTGTAGTATGTGTTCAATATATATTTGAAAAGTGGTAACCTTTTTGTCCGCTACTGTACATATGTGTATGTATAATCTATGTGACTCGTATAACACGGATTCATATAACACGGAACGTATCCCCCGTGTAATAGGGGTGTCTACTGTATGTTACATTGAATACTTGAATATTAGCCTGTATTTTTATATCATTACAACAGTTATCTACGATAGCCAGAATTAATTTTGTTGAGAAGAATTGAATCTGAAACTGTATAAAGAAGTATTGACTTATAAGCATAAATGAATTGCATTGGAAAAAAATAGTTAGTATTGAAGATATTTTTATTAAGAATATCAAAAATTTAGGAAAGATCTGCTGGTATATTGGAACATAGATATTAAATTGCTACGGATGACGTTTTGAACAAATTTCTTAAATATTAAAAAAAACCACTTCCAGTAGATCAAATAACAATTTCAGGTCATTTGCAGAAATTAAAATGATTTGATGTTGAATATATGTACATACTAATATCACATGAGTATTCATAATTTTTAGCTGAAAGCACAATATGTATGTATCATAAAGGTGGCAATAGGATTAAGCATATACAGTTTGACCGACAGTAACTGAAACAACAACATGCAGGTGCAAGAACTCACATGACTGACCATGGAGTAGTACACAAAAACATAATAAATCAATTATTATTACTCTTTAAATTTTGTTCTGAAATGTAAGAGGTTCAACCTCTATTCCTCTTAAAAGAAGAAGGTTTTTGATTGTCCTGGTAAGTACCTGCCTGAAACGCTGTTTCTGTCACGTACTGTCTATTGTGAGAACAGTACAATATGCAAACATTATGTAAACGACCGAATCGTGATGGTCTCTGAAAATCCAAGAATCTCACGCGCAATCTTATCTTATATTGCGTTCAGTATTGTTCTAATGCAAAATACGATTACTGAACATCGTAAAAAAATTGAAAAGAAATAAGTAATATTCTCTGTTCGAGGTGTTCTTCGTTGTTCTTTGTTGCATACAATGCAGTGCAGATACGAAACATCGTAAATGATTTAAGTACACTTAGAAACTAAAAGCCGAACAACATTTCATGATGTAATCGATGCATGATTGTTTTGGCCTTTCTTCAAGGTTGATATCTTGCATGTATGTACATACACGTATCCTCAATTTTCCGTTCCCGAACGAAAACTGGACCCCGAATTTGCAGCGATTTAAACGTCTTCTGTTTGTTTGCATGCGTCGACGCGTGTGTTTTTCATGACGGAATTTTGTCCAACGTAATGTACAGAAAGTGAGTACTTACACGAGTCTTTTTTGTATTTAATTATCCTCGGTTGCGCGGATAAAGTGAAAATTTTATTACAGGAGGCGCTGCACCGAACGAAGATGATTCAACTGGCCGATTTGTTTTCGGTACCGGAAATGGGGCTTCTGTGCAACGTCACGGAGTACTTCCTTCGGAATCATATCGATTATCACCCCGAGATACTCTTCAGGGACGTAAAGGTGAGTATGAAACATTTAAAATGGAATAACGATTATTTATAAATTAACCTCTTGACTTACAACGTCGAGTCAGACCCGAGTTGACAATTTCAAAATCGATTCAGCAAACACGAATATTATTAGTTTTCTTTAAATTCATGTAAGATACCACTTTGCTGGTAATAATATTTAACTTTTAGAGTAAATGTACAGTTGCGGTAAGTACAGAATTCTTTTCGTTTCTGGAAAACTATCCACAAGAAAGTAATTCTGGAGACTGCAGTCGTCAAGAAAATCGTAAGACAGGGGGTTAATATTCTACTATAGACGTGGAAATATACCATGACCAAAAAGTAAGTTAGTTCGATTATTTACGCGATGAACTTCTATCAAAAGTCGTTAATGCTTAGAAATATTCATAGAAATTAATTAATATTATTAACGATCTAAAAGATAAGAATATATCTTTCTTTTTAATACTTTCCTCTTAACATATGTTTGTCAATATGAGATATATTAAACACTTTTAATAATTCAGTATGAAATGTAAGATATTTCTCTTGATTGTTTCTATTTTATCATTTATATTAAGACGTTAGTAATAAAACTACTAAAGTCTTAATATAAAAAAGAAGAATTTAAGTACTGTATAGTGAAGTTTTTGCATTACTTTCGACATACTGATATACTTAATGAAAATAAATTAATTTCCATTATATTCCAGTTCTCACAAATGATGTAGTTTGGTAGTCTGTAAATTTTCATAAACATTTATAGTCTAGTAATAATAATTTAATATTTACGACATATATTTTTACATTTCATTTTTTTATACTTATATTCGGTTTTGTAAATGCTTAGTATAAATAATGACAGAAATAATAAGATCTTCGTAAGAAATTACATGAACAATAACTGGAAGAAAAAACACATGATAAATAATATTGAAAATTCTATAAGCGTATATAGATTTGAATGAAGTGTTCAATTCCTGAGGAACAACAGTTTCTAAAACCGAGTTTTATCTCTTCTCTTTATAGAATTCTGTGCAAAGTTGCCATCCCATAATGCACGGCATGGTGGTGCAAAATGTGTCAGACTATTTGGAAGAGAATAAGGAATTAACGAAATTCATCGACCGACTTAAAAAGGCTAACAAAAAGATGTTTTTAGTGACCAACAGCCCTTTCCACTTTGTGTAAGTGTTGTGAGTTACAATTAGTTTTAGTGACGTGTAGAATGTGTCTATCGACTCAAGTTCTCCAGTAAATGAAAAACCGAAGATATTTAATTTTCTACTCCCAAAATTATTTTTATTTATACACAACACTTATACTTAAGAATTACTCGTAATCGCTTCCCCGTTTTAAAAATCAAAATTAAAAGCTGTACAAATCTGATCACTTTCTGGTCTTTTCATCGAAAATGTTTCTCGGATTTATTAATAAACGAAACATTTAAATGGCAGACTTTTATAAAAACAAATAATAAAAATATTTAGAAATTTTAATTTCCACTGATGGTTGATCGATAGAGACCAGAATATACAATGGAGAACTTGAAGTAAATGTTGGAGGATTTCTATGGCTGTTTGAAGCGTTACCGTTGATCGATGAATTGACGTTTGATTTTAGTGATACGGGAATGAAATTTTTGGTCGGTAATAACTGGAAAGATTATTTCGACGTCGTAATAGTGCAAGCAAGGAAACCGAAATTCTTCACCGAAGAATCTCGACCGCTCAGAATTTACGATGAAGTCAATGAAACTCAGTTATGGGATCGGGTCACGAAACTCGAGAAAGGTGTGATATACCTTGAAGTAAGTTCGATCGTGTTCGTCTTAGAATGTTTACAGAAGAATTTAAATAATAACAAATTTGCAAACTTAGGGAACAGTTAAACAATTGCAAGACATGACTGGTTGGCGAGGACACCAAGTCCTGTATTTCGGGGATCATCCCTATAGTGATCTGGCGGATGTAACTTTGGAACATGGTTGGCGAACCGGTGCCATAATTAAAGAATTAACTGTAAATATTGGAAGAACTTACTAGTCCTTAAATGGAATGCAGTAAATTTTCTTTGAACAGTGGCGTCCAGTTTTGTATGATTTTTAATCATTTAAAAAGTATATTTATCATCAGTTCGTTTAGTGGTGTACAAAGTGAAGCGCTGAAAACAGTTATTTCAGTTTTTAGAGACTCGGATTCAATTTGTTTGATTTCTATTTTACAATTTGCTCGACATCGAGTGCCGCCATTCTTGTTAGTTCTAACCGAAGAATTAACTCGACTGGAGTATTTTTCTTTGAATAATAAAGCAGTATGGTCACCTTAAATATTTACACTGAAAAGGAAACAGAAAAATCAGTTCAAAATCGGAGATTTTTATCTGACAATGAAATTATAATGGAGTTGACAATCTTGAAGCGTGTTTTAGAACACTTCAATTGCAAACTAAGAAAATGGCGATCCAACAGTTTCCTTTGCGATCACAAAGATGTTTCTCTGAAACATTTTTATATTTAAAAATAAATAATTTACTTTCATTTTTAATTTACTACTCGACACAATACTGATAATAAATAAAACAGACAAAAATATTGGAAAAAGAAACAAATTTTCAGCAACTAGTAGAAAAAATTACTCGCTATAGGAAGCACATTTCAAAGAAATTTACTTTTATTAGCTTTGAAGCTTTCTGCATCATGTCATTCTGTAATTTATTTGTATATATCGCAGCACGAAATATCGACACTAAACAATCCAAAGTTCAAAGAGAACGCTAATTGGTTGCAAATGCTGACTGGCCTGATCGAGGAGCATCAAGATTATGAAGGACCCGACGCTCAAGTAACGCTCAATGAGTGGATCAAGGAGAGGGATCAGTTAAGGAACGACATAAAGCGTGTCTTTAATAAACAATTCGGCTCTGTGTTCCGAACATATCACAATCCCACGTATTTTTCTAGAAGACTCTTTAGGTTCGCCGATATTTATATGAGCACGATCACAAACCTGTTAGAATACTCAACGAGTCACACGTTTTATCCTAGAAGAGGCGTGATGCCTCACGAATACACCAGCTACTTCGTGTAATATATAAACTTGCGTTTGAACACCCAGTTAGATGTGTATTTTCTACGTTTCTTTTTTTTGCAAATCTGCTACGAGCTTACGGAACAAAAGATCAAAAACTGGACAATATACTCTAAAAAGTCTAAAAAGATACAATCATAGAAGTTAGATGTTGAACCCCAGGATGGCTTCTGTTAATGTTGACTTGTGAATAACCTCGAAAATGGATTTACTTCAAATTTTACCAAATGTAAATTCCATAAATTTAAAAATATGCAAAATTACCTTAAATTTTAATATAGTAATTTATTTTAATGAAACAAATGTACCAGTCAGCCAAATCTGTAAAGCCAAATTTTGTCCAATGCCCGTTATAAAGTTATGGCTACATGTTTTATGCAAGATTTACTATAAACAATTTGCGTGCACGTGTGCAGCAGCATAGGCAGCAACTTGGCAACAACATATGCAGCAAATTGGCTCGCGCAGATTCTGTTCCGTTTCTGCCCCCAATTTGACACAGGTTACGTTGCAAGACTTTTGCCAATTTGCTTTACCATTTTGTCAGCTGGCGTTGCCTGCAAAACTCAAGCCAAATACGGAAACAGATGTCTATATTTTTTTAGACAACTTTTGTCATTATGTGCTGGCAATTTGCTCGAAACTTGTACACAACTGGTTATCAGGGTAATATTTACAATAGGCGAGAACAGTTTTCGTCTTACTCGCATGATAATATTTTATGAAGAACAGAATTTGATTGATTATTTTAAACAGAATAAGTTACGAGTAGTTTAAAAAAAAATTCGTAAACTCGGTCAACAGTACAGAAGTTTTTCTGGCGTTACAACGCATTTTCCTTTTATGTAAATGAAATGAGAATGTCAGACTGCTAAAAGCGATAATACGAGTTAGAGGACAAGTTACATTGTCCAAATGTGTTTTGTGCGGTGCATAAATTATTTAGACAAAATAATTAATGCCAAACGTACCGCTGCGCGTATGCTATATCAGTGTAATTGTTATATTTATATTGTATATGTATACTAGTATTTTGCGAAATAGTAAGAGTCAGAAGTCTCGATGGTAGAACAAAGATGATAAAATCAACCAAGCTTGATACCAAAATATGTAAGATGATTTGTAGAATGATAGATATTGTACCGCTTATAGAACACTTTGAAACTGTTGAATTTCGTATATTTTCATTCTTTATGGCAAAGAGATATAATATATATATAGTTTATTCAGGTACAGAATTGATCATATTAAACGTTAATAATGACAATGTCTATTATCAAAGCGCATGTATGTATACGGTAGGTGAAATATCGCAAAGTGGACGTATAAAACTTATTCTATTATGTCCTTATGATAAAGTACAATTTAGGATAAATAGGATACAGAAGCTTAAGTTAATAGGGTTAATCCTAATAACTGTGATTATACTTCTATCGAGCTCACTTTTTCATGTTAGAGCTTAACGAATATGGTACAAGGTATGGTTGTGCACACAGCATAGATGATTCTTACCGCTTATACATACATAGTATTGGTGGTATCCTGTTTAAACACCAAGAATCATAACACTGTGTATGTATATCGAATGATATTACATCGAAGCTACCGACACGGAAGAAATTCTACTTAATATTTTTCCTTATCAGATTAGCGCCATTTGTTTTACATTCTTCTATCTCCCGCGAATACGAATACAATGCTTACATGAATGTGTTCAAGATGTACATAAATAGTTGTAATAGTCAATGAAAATAAATCTAGACAATACTATTATAATACACGTAATATTTGTGTATCGTTTATTAATTTCCGTAGGCTTCTCAATTTCATTTGAGGTATGGAAAGTGGATATAAACATTTTCGTAAGAAATCAAACGTAACAAGCTTATACAAGTAACATTGTTGGGAATAAAACTTGGTATGTACCTTATGAATAGAATACAAAATTAATTCCTAATAAAATCGACAGGAAACTTATAACGGTAAAAGATGCAAACAAACACATAATTAATATCGTTCGTTTTAAGAATAAAAACGAATTATAAATTAAATAAATTTTTATTTTCATTACAGAGTGTAAATTGTAAATAATATACCTGAGAAGAAAGAAAGACTAACAAGGTTCTACGGTTACTTGTGTTATTGAGAATATTATTATTATTATATAACGAAAACAGATGGCAACAACATAAAATATTAAATTAATTTAATTCGAGAGATTAAGTTCGATTTTCAAAACAAATACATTTACAACTCAAATCAGATTTATATATTTCATTATTTTTCTAGTACAACTAAACTGCCGATATTTTTCCATGTAAATTAAATTTGATCAAAGAATTATCGTAATCAATTCATACCTCATTAGGATTCAATTGTTTCAAACAACCGAAGGAACAAATGTTGAAAAAATTACTATTTGTACAAAATACTTTACATTTAACTTATATGAATTATGCTTTGTAATATAAAATTGGTATTGAAGAAATCATTATGTACGACACAATTTCTTGTATTTTGTGTACAAGTGTTCATAAACTATGCACAAATGATACGAGTGTGTTTGTATAAATTATTGAAATATATTTAAACAAATATCAGAGATTACAGTATTTACATAAAGTTCTCTCGCACTCATGCGAACACAACACGCGCTCAGCACTGTATGTACTACGTATTTTCATGAATGTCGAATACAGCCAGTGTACAGTGTATTAATGCTATCTACACTGAACCCAGTATATTTGTACTCGGTGACTGTATGACTGAAAAGATGACTTCCATAATATTTATTCGATGCGATCGTCGCACAATTTCAAGCTAAACTGAATCATCCACAGCCCGCCATAACACTCGGATGACAGTGCCACCCACAGTAACTTCTATACCTTTTATCAAAACGCGGATTTAATCACGACATCTGATTTATATGTCGCTGGCACGAAGTTTCCTCGAGTAGAAAATGTTTACATCACTTCAAACTAATTACATGGTCAGTCTGTATCAACTACAACGTTTCTCCTAAATAGTTTCATAAGCCACCTACTCAAATTAAGAATTTCCATCGTGCTTACCAATTAGTATAAATAACGTATTAAATTATGTGTACGCATTATTTATATTACGTACATATTAAATTTCAATAATTACGTTAACAAGTCACCGTCTCGAATCAGAAATAATAACAAGACCGTTATCATTGCCAAATACTGCGGACAACATTATGTGTGATGTAATTTGGCTTAGTTATTGGTCAACTGTTTAACTTACTGAGTGATTGACATTTTCCATGTACAGTCTTCAGTTTCCATGCAGATGTAAGACGCATGACTACCAACGAGGTAGATTACCAAAATTAAATTTCAGCTAAGGTAGCAAAAGTTGTTGAGTCGCGTACAAAGCGACAACAATAGGATAATTTCGATAATGTACTTGGGCTAGTACCATGACAGTTAAAAAAAATGATTAATTGAAATGGAACTTAAACTGGAAGGGAGAACCATGGAAATGATGGAATTCTTGGAAGGGATTGGAACCATACTGATGTGATCCGGACTCAGGATCTAAAGGATCTTCTCCTTGGTCAAATTTCGCTCGCTTGTCGTCGTCAGTCAGTACTTCTTTGGCAGCTGCAATGTCAATAAACCTTTTCTCCGCTCGCTTCTTTTCGTCTCCTTCTTGAAAGTTATCAGGGTGCCACTTCTGTGCAGCCTTTCTATATGCCTTAATAATATCCCGTTTTGATGCTGTTCTTGATACACCCAGGATTTTGTAATAGTCTCGAGATTCGGACAGTTTTTGACGTTGTTGCGCTTTATGAAGACCCTGCTTTGCCCTTTGTAAACTAGGGTCAATTTCTAAAGCTTCCTTAAACTCTCTCATTGCTATTTGAAAACAGAATATGTGATTAGGTTACTAAACTATACCAATAAAAAAGAACTTTCATATAATGACTTACCATCATCGAACATCTCAGCAGCAAGATACGCTTCTGCGCTGTCACAGTATACTCCTGGTTCCTTCCGCAATTTCAGCGCTTCTTGACAATTATTAATTGCCTGACTTGTATCTGAATTGCCACTATAGCACTTGCAAAGGAGTTGATACGCAAGGAAACGTACATTGCCTACATTTGGTTCAAGCTTAAGGACAGGTTGAGCAGAAACTATACACCCATCATAATCTCTTGCTTCCTCGGATGTTTGTGCATCTGCTAATAATTTGACTATTTTCTTCACTTTCTTATAAAACGAAAAACACTTTGAATGCTCTGGATCAAGTTTCAAACATTCTCGAATTTCCCTAAATAGTTATAATTTTAATTAGATATTTTGCTGCATCAAACAATTTTAAATAATTTGCTCACTCACTTCAGTGATTCTTCTACTTGTCCAAGACGATAAAGCAAGCTGGCTAATTTAAAATACCCATTAGTATTATCAGATTGTAACTTAGTTGTGGAACGCACATCAGAAATAGCACTCATATAATCGTCGAGAGCTTCGTAACATTCTGCTCTGCGTTCCCTAAGTTCAACTGCCCATGGACATGTCTCAATAATTCTGGTAATTTGTTGCGCAGCTGCTGCATAATCGCCATAACTTATCAATCTGTCTACAACAGTCAAATCTTCTTCTGCACTCCCTATTTTATATAAAGCATTGAGAGCATCTTCGTTATGGGGTTCTACTGCCAACTACAAGAGAAAGCATAGACAAAAATGTACATTAGTTATTAAAAAATAGAAACTACATGTATCATAAAAGTTATACTTACCACACTTTGAAAATTTTCTTCTGCTTTTTTGAATTGAGCTTGTTTGAGTAACACATTACCTCGTTGTAACCTTGCAGATGTAAAATCTGGCTTTAGCTCTAAAACCTTATCAAGATCAAGCAGTGCAAACTTCGCTTTACCTAATGCTAGATATACTGTGCCTCTCTTGTAATACGTTAAATAATTGTTTGGATCGCCCTCTGCAAAAATAACATGCTTCAAAATTCTGAATCAAAGAAATTTTATACTAATTCATGCAATTATGATGATTATAAAACATAAAATATGAAAACTAAATAGAAACAAAACTTACCAACAGCTGCATGGTAATGTGACAGGGCATCTTGTAACTGACCTTTTGCTAAAAATTCTCTACCTAATTCCAGATGCCTGTCAATCTCTAATTGGGAAACACTCCCAACCACTGTAATACAGATTCATTTAATATTAATCCGTAAAATAATTATAATAAGTTACTGCAGGTTAGGATTATTTACCGTCTAAAGACAGATCCAATAAGACAAGTAGTAAACCACAATGGTACATGACTGAATAAACAATTGAGCCACGATGATACGAACACCAATAAACAAGGAAACAGAGTTGCTGGCTTCACAAGCCTCTACTTAACCACCAGATAACACAAAACTATTCAGCCACACCGCCATTGCGATCGTGGTTCTATACGATTGGTCCAAGTTGGCCCAACAGAAATTGACCTCCCACCATCTACCTACGAATTCGCTGTAAAAATTGTAAATCATACTACCGCGTACAAATTTTATTCAGTGGACGTTCAATTTATCCTAGGTAGATTCTATATAGATACAAAGCGTTTAAGTTCATTAGCCTTTTTTAAGATAGTTTATACAAATTATTAGACATATTAATTATCATAATTATTCAGTGTCTTCTAAAGACTCAAGGTAACACTTGCGGAGATTGTTTAACTGATACGAATTTATAAAAATCAAAAAATTCATGTCTAAACATTTATTGAAAATTTATATACTTCCAGATTGTTTCTAAGAAATACAAATTAACAGAAATACATGCTGCATAAAATTTTTAAATCGTTATTAAAATATTGGCTATGTTTTGTACTCAAACTTTTTGAAAAATTGGTTTAAAATTTCTATATTTACTGATATGCACACATTCGGTAAACATTTAGGATATTTTAACAAAGTAATATTACGGTTACTTGTCTACTACAGATAAACAGTGCATAATTTTGCCTCTGCCATTGATATGATGAATACAAAACGCACAACGTAAAAAAATTTATATTTTGAAATTCTTTAAGTTACCCAGTACAAAAGATTATGCAATTTTGCAACGACAAACCATAAAACGACTGTGACTACCGTCTGACTTGAATGTACTTATATAAAAGAATAGGATAAAATAACTATATAAAATATTTTGGTTAAAACACATATTCAATATGCAGTTGAACATTTATAAATTTCAATGCAAATTACGGGGTAGAAAGGCGTATACGTATGGAAAAGATTCTACATCGCATAATCTTTTTCCCTCGTTTATTAGATGGTTCATTTTATAGAATTCTCCTGTCATTTTTGCATAATACTATAAATAAAACGAATGAATCACCAAATGAATAAACATTTAAATAATACACGTGATCCATCGTCTCTTATGAGGTATTTGTAACAATATTGACACTCTACATCATTCTTCACGGGATACACGTGTCTTTCACCTCGGAATGAGATGTGCACACGCTCTGCAATGTGATCACAACTTATTGCTAATGAACAACGAGTGTGTGTGTACACATATCATGTCGTATATGTATCATACACTTCGTTAGGTTAAGTTGATTTCCTTCTTTTTATTCAATTTCAGACAATTTATTTTTATTAATTCATTCAATAGCCGTACGATGTACAGTTGTTTGCAGATTTTTTTTCCTACTTCTCATATTTTTCTCGATTCATCTAATGTAGCGTGTAAATGTGCAATTACTAATAAGAGACCGACAGAATGGTACGTTCACCGTTCCGTTTCTTTACTCTTTCTTCACACTATTTTGCCACTTCGCTCACCAGTTTGATGAAACAGATATATAGCAATATCATTAGTTATAAGTGAATGATACACGACGAGCATCACTGACCGTGGAATAATACACGACACAGCCACTGAGACTCGTTGTCGGAAGCGATATGACAGTACGTGTCATACTTCCCATCAAGGTTTGTTCATTCTTTTTACGCACGTCTTTGCCACGTACTCGATTCGACAAGTGACGCTCCTTGACTTAAATAACACTCGTAAAAGTTCGAAGACATTATTTTTTCTCGTTTGCCATCCCGCCTCGTTTCGACTACAAATTTTTCATTTCCACCAACGCGTGTGCTCTTTTTCCCCTTTACGCTCGCGCATACGATGTACTCAATTGCTTCTTCTCGCTCATTTGTGTTTCTCTCTTGAGTTATTACATAGCTTGTTTACCTTTACGATTTGAACAAAAAGCTGCTCGAGGTAGACACACACAATAAGCGCATACAAATCTTTCCTTTTTTTTTTACCAAGAGCAAATCGAACACATGAGTACTCGAATTATCGAACAAGCGTAACGTACACAATAAAAAAAGAAGGTAAAGAAAATTATTACCTACAGCACGCGACACAACACAATTGTGTTCGGTGACATTTTCGCGTGCTCCGTCTTTCGACGCGGTTGCGTGTTGCGTACACAACGATACATATATATGATTTACAATATGTTTCTATTTTGTGTGTATGTGTGCTTTATAATTGCGCATTCTTTTCGTAGTTAATGATTGCAGTCACAGTCAAACGCCACGTTTGTTTTCTTTCCTATTTTTTTCTCTTTTTTACTTTACACAATATGTTATACGATTGCTATTCGTATAGCCCCTCTCACGTTTCTTTTGCACTATAATTGATCTTTTCCTAATCGTTTCGCTCTGCGTAGATCCGTAAGTGTTCCTTAAGGCTGCTCGTCCGATATACTTTAGAGGACCAAACATAATTGTTAAAGATACTTGTACAGTACAAATACATGACACTGTCTTTCCCACAGAAGTAACGAAAAGAGAGAGAGAGAGAAAAAAAATAATAAATACTTAAAACGTTAATAAATAGCTTCGTTTATTACATCATTCTCCTATTTCCTCTAAAGATGCTAATACCTTCTAAATCATAATGCCGTACTTGAATTTATACACGTGTATCGGTTACGGAAACGGTGGACATCTGATTATCGCACAAATATCTGTCGATTTTTTAGTTTTCGTATGAAATACACGAGAACTAAACCGCTCGAATCCGATCGGTGGTAATGTCGACCATTGACGGTTCGTTCACGACAGAAGAAAATGAAAAAAAAAAAAAAAAAAGAAGAAAATAATTACATGGAATCAATGTTACACCGTAACTGCTCGACGACCAACACTGTTATGTATAAAAATATCGTTATAACTAGGAGAGAAATAAGTATAAAAATATTTTTGCGTATAGTTGACGTTACTTGCATGATCTGTGTCCACCATATTACTCGTAAATGAACATATTACTTCCAACTGCACAGGACTAATAACTTACATCGACGCGTCATATATATTCGTTGCCTTGGCGATCAATTGGACAGTAGAATCCGGAATTTTATTATGAATATATTTATATCTGTTTGTATAGATTGTAGCTCTTCGCTTTCAATTTGGTGGATTGCAAATTTTGTAAACAAAGGAGAGAAAACACAAAAATATTCAGGATAATAGTGTCCAAAAGCCTCCTATACACGTTCTCTTTCTAGCATAGTGTAAAATAACGCAACGCAATACAGCAAAGCCGTTATGCAAAAAGCTTGCGCGCATACAATAGTACCACCTACGAAACCACATAGACGTTATTAAAAACGTATAGGGGTAACAACAATAATAGTAAATAAGAGTAATAGTAATAGTGGTACTAATAATAATAGTAGTACTATTACGGCAAGACCTACTACTTTCTCGACAGATTCAAATATGTCCAAGTGAACAATTTCTATTGCCGTAAGGAGTTGTACATTATAAGTGAAATGCGATCGATCGATATCGTCACCGTTCACTGTGGGTTCTTGTAATGTTCTTGGCAGGGCCTCCGAGTTGACAAATGAACTCGACGATAAAATCATATTAGAATTTGAAAACGACACGCACCATATGGTCGGAAGCCAACAATATTTACTCGTAACACTATTTGAAAAGTTCTAGTTGAAATAATTATGTTCCCCCCCTCCCATCGCCGAGGGGGCATTCACACCTTGGTCCACGGTCACACGGCATACGATTCACGCACGCGATTGCACTATAAATCTATTAATATAACAGGTATAAGTATGACATGTCTAAAAATCCTGTCAGTTGTCACGCAAATCGAATTTGTACTTTTTCTCACATAGGTTAGGTAAGAATCCGACGTTTGCACAAAAGATATCGACATTCTATAAAGCCCTACCAACATCATCAACCAGTAATGACGCGTTTCGCCGTTCGTCATCTATTATTAATGCGCGTTATATGTTTTCTTTTCGTTTTCATTTCATTCTTTTTTTCTTTTAAGTAGAAACAATGCCCCAAAAAACATGTTTTCAGGACTGTAAGAGCTAGGCGTTTAGCCCTCCCCGATCGGACAACAGCCACGTGGTTTCTTGATGTATTTAACGACTTAATATTCCCGCTTTCTCGGCTCAAACAAACTGAGCTCCCATGCTTTCCATGACATTCAATACCGATTAATTAATACATTTAGCATTTGTATTTCGTTAAATTGTTCATATTTATCAATTCGCTTGGAAATTGAATGTCACAAGATCGTTCGATATCACAGTCGTTTTTCAATTATTTTAATGTTTATGTATTTACGAATATTACTTAGTATGTATATATATCTATATATAGCGTACTGATAAATACAGTTATAAAATATGAGTGCGCGTTTCGCCTTCTTGTTTCAAAGGGCTTGCTTCTTTGTATAATTCTCATCGTTATTTTTCTTTCGTATGTTTCTTTCATTTTCATAAAATTGAACCGACTCTAACAGTGCATGTACGTGTGCTTTTTCTGTTTCATATTGAAGCTTCCTTCTCTGTAACTGCAACCGTATTCTTGTACCCGTTTACATTATTTTTCTTTCACAGTGTTATGCTTTCGTTCTAGAGCACTCGCACCCAATAACTGCGGTATAAGATTTTTTTTATAACGCACCATACCATTTTTACAGGACAACGTCTTCATTACGTTTAGAAATTCTAATTAGAGTACATTAAAAATTCAGGTACAACGAATTATATACCTGACGTGTTTGTTAAACGTTTCAGCCTATTCTCTAGATACAGTGACCAAAGTTTTAAATAAAGTAATACTTTCAATTAAGTTAGAGACAAGCAATAAGTTTACAGCATTCTGACCTTGAAACTTACTTATTGTTAAGAGAACGCGAGATAGAAATACGAACGGAGATTTCTAAAAGTAATCCTAAGACGCAGCCTGTGTCCTTTTCATAATATCAAAGCTTCTCGACTAGTGGAATATTTCACCACAATTCAGTCGATTAAACCATGATATTGCCGGCGCAACGTCGTCTGTGTCTGGGGACGGCAAAACAACAAAGTACCATTCGTCGCTGGACTATAGTAAATTTAAAACAGGAATCGTCACGAAATCTATGGCGATGGCGATGTTATGGCGTATCCTAGGCGTCTAGACAAGTCTGTATGTGCATTACATTAAACAAAAGAATAAAGCAAAAGAAACTAACGATACAAAAACGAAAAAAAAAAAAAAAAACAAAGAAATGCCGCTATCAGGTTAAATCAAACTACACAAGTTACTGGCCATTCAGGCGTAGTAGTACTAAAGCACTTGTGCATTTAAAGCTACATTAATTTCCTCGAATCTAGACGCCATAATTCTCGAAGATACGCCAATAACATCCTTCGAAAAATTTAAATAATGAAGCCACAACGAGCCCCATAGTCTCGACAGGAGTTCTAAAAAATTTTACTAAGTTTCTCCACCTACTATGTGTTGCATCGTCATGTCCTATCTAGGCAATAACGATTCGATTCATTAGTGATTATACTACTTGTGTTCCTCAATACGCACGGCAACGAAACTTTGGATGGATCTTGCATATCTTTGTCTAGTGCCTGACAAATCCTGATCTATGACTCCTTGAATGCTTTCGAAACGAGATCATTGTCTTCCCTGCGTCACTGTCCGAATTTGCTTCCGCCGCTGTTAATGCTGAAATTGCACTTAGGATTTGTCAAACGTTTCGTCGCACGTGGATAAAAGTATTTTTTTCTCATTTTCTTTTTTGTTGAATTGAATAAACAGTTACTTTTTTTTCCGTTCAAAAATTGTAGTGCTCAGGCAGTTAGCGTACGTGATGTGTTTATATGTGATACTGTCTGTCTTTTGTTGTGTATATGTATATACGCGCGCATATACGTGCGTGTGAGTCCGATGTGTGTGTCCGATGTGTATGTCCGTACATGTCTTTCTTACATATATTTGAATTTACGTGTACAATAGTAATAATGATAAAAGTTGAAATTGAGATGTTGATGATTTACTTGTCCCATACCTCCCACCAATCGGTGCCGTTGCTGCTGCCGTTGTTAGCAGAATTATTATGCGATGAATTATTATAACTGCCGCCATAGCCACCGTAACCTCCTACAGAGAAAGAATGGACTCATGTACTTGTGCTCTCTTTCGTTATATTTTAGTCTAATGAATTGTAAATAAAGGACAACATTAAGTTTTACACATCACGTTGAACATAAGAAAAATTAAATTCAAATTTCATACATCAATGTCTACCGATAAAGTATAGAACACCATGAAGTACTTGAGATAGACTTAGATGGAGAAGCGATAACCGTGAAGATATAAATGGGATTTACATATATGTGTGTGCTCAATAGATTTACAGTTACATTGAAACCAATATCTATTCTTAGGTCCGAAACAGCCAATAAGACGTAATATTTCCCATAAAAATAATAAATACTAACCTCCGTAACTGCCAGGTCTATTTAAGGACCCGTTGTTACGAGCAGATCCAGAGCTAGGTTGTTGACGATAATCTCTTGCGCCAAACCCACTAAATCGTCCTCCACCGCCGCCACCGCCGCCACCACCTCCACCTCCTCCTCCTCCTCCTCCTTTAGTACTACTACCCCCAGCTCGTCGAGATCCACCTCCAGAATGTCTTGCTACGTCACCGAACATGTCATCCAGCCACGTCGGAAGTTCTTGGTTAGCCTCGATCAGCAGAGACACCAAATCACGCACCAAATTATGGTTTTTCTTGTTGAAAAATGACGTTGCGAGACCTTTTACGGCAACAAAATATATATTATTACGGAGCACGCATAAGACAATTAAGATTGAAACGAGAACGAACCTAAATTGCCCATACGACCAGTACGACCAATTCGATGTACATATTCTTCGACATCGCCTGGTAAGTCGAAATTTATCACATGTTTTACATGTGGAATATCGAGTCCACGGGCAGCAACGGCAGTTGCAACAAGTATTGGCGCTTTACCAGCACGGAAACGGCGCAAAGCTTCTTCTCGCTCACGCTGTGTTCGGTCACCGTGAATACTGGTAACTGGATATCCCATCTGATGCAAATACTCTTCTAACATATCTGCACCCTTCTTTGTTTCCACGAACACCAAAGTTAATGACTCAGCATCTGAAAGTGTAATGTAATTATTTGTACCACAACATATTGGTACAATACATTATAATCTGTATAATAAACGTCAATTAATTATATATACATATATTTGTGGAACTTACTAGGATCTGCAAAATTGCTAGCCTGAAGCAAATCAAGCAAATATGAACGTTTGTCATGTTCTTCCACCCATACAATTTTCTGAGTAATATTTTCAGATGTAGAGCCTACACGGCCTACAGCTAAAAAGATATAATTGCTAAGGAAATCCCTTGCCAACATTTGTATCTCCTTAGGGAACGTAGCTGAGAACATAAGTGTCTGTCTTTCCCCAGTTGGAGGCATTGCATCCTCTTGGACTATACGTCTTATCTGTGGTTCAAAACCCATATCCAACATACGATCCGCTTCGTCCAATACTAAGAATCTACAACATGAAATTCAGTATTTTAAGTTATATATCTCCAAATATTTTAAATTAATTTAATTATGCCACTTGCTAGTGTATTCACTGGAAAATTATGTACATACCGGCAATTATGTAAACCAATTTTACCCCGGCCTAACATATCTACGAGACGGCCAGGTGTTGCTACAAGAAGATGGCAGCCGCGATCTAGTTCTCGCATTTGGTCTACAATATTTGAACCACCATAGACAACAGCAGGACGCATACGTGATCTGTATGCAAATTTCCTTGCCTCGTCATATATTTGAGTGGCAAGCTCTCTTGTAGGTGCTAATACCAGACCCAGTGGGTACTGTTTACGCTTGCCAGAAGAATTGACATGTGGTGGCGGTGGACATGGCCCACCTTCATAAATCTGATTCAATATTGGCACTAAAAAGGCCGCTGTTTTACCAGACCCTGTTTGGGCACAGGCCATAACATCACGACGTCCAATGATGATCGGTATCGCATACTTCTGCACGGGTGTAGGCTTATCATAACCAGCCAGACTAATGCTGTTCTTTATTATCTCCGTCAGCTTAACCTCGTCGAACTGTTAACAAGCGAACAAAAAAATATATAAACATACATCATACTACTGTTTTGAAGTGTTTCTGCTACAGTTTGAACCTTACAGATGTGATGTGTGGAGGTATATTGTCTCCAGTAGCCTCAACTGGGATATCCTCATATTTACTAAAATTGATACCAGTATTCCCAGTACCAAATAATTCCACCTCCAATCGCTCATCTCTGGAAGTAGGAATCGTCCAATCGATTTCAGAGCCTCTTCTTCCTCCATCTCTGTCGTCTTTCCATCTACCACCACCACCGCCGCCGCCGCCGCTGCTGCCCATTCTATGGTCGGTTTTGCTCTCTTGCCAGCGGTTGTTTCTAGGCTCTGGCCAACGGTCATTGCCGGAGCTAATCGGGCGCTCATGATCTCGATCGCGCTCGGAATTAGAAAATCTGTTATAATCTCTTCCATTTTCTGGACCAGCGCTACGTCTGTTGCGTACACCATAGTTTCCAAAGTTCCCAAAATCGACATCGCGAGAATTTCGTGGTTCTTTATAGCCGGGACCGACTCTGCCCCTATCACGATCCCTGTCCCTATCATGATCACGTTCACCACCCCTATCTCTCTCAGAGTATGATGATCTCGAGTTCGAAGAATGTTGATCTCCTCCAGAAGGTCCGTTACCTATAAATAATCCATACTTCAGGTTTTTTCACAAATATAATTAACTTATGAATACAGTATCACCAAGAGGTTCTACTGACTCATGAATCCTTTCAGTAGTAGTACCTCATTTTATTAAATACTGAAGATTTAAAAACAAAAATTAAAATAACTTCAAGATCATTGTTACATAAATAAACAAAACTTAACTTTTGATGTCATGATAAAATTACATGTAAAATAAAACTCTACTTTAGAAAGTACTTACTTCCGGATTTATTTCTTAGGTGTGGTGGTACGTAGCGACCCCCACTAGCTTGGCGGGAGCCCGACAAGTCCAGACCAGCTAACTACAATGCAAAATATAATCATTAAAATTATAATTATTTGTATATATATATATATATATATATATATTAATGTTATCAGATTAGAATTTTTAAATGATCTATCGAAGGTACAATACAAACAAAAAATGAAAAATTCAACTGAATAATTTTAGAACATAATGGCCATACACTGTTTATATCCAAAAGATCGTTATCACACTGCAATCAAAAATTTAAAAAAACATATTGGAATCTTGGTAAGCACGATTAAGTAGGTTAAAAGTAAGAAAACTAAAAAATGTGAATTGTGCGTATAATGCACCTTATCATGAGAATTTGAACATGATACAAAAGCAACGCGAGAATGCGTCATAGCACGAGGCATGCTGTTCCCAGAATTGGTTGCCGCCATTACAAAGCTGTACGTCACAAACGATCTCGACGATGACCCGAGTCTATAAAATTTTTTACAACGGAAATAAGAAGCGGGATTAAATGATTCGCGTAGATGGAAGTTAAAAAATTATGCCTATTAACGTTCAAATACAATTCCATGAAACAAAAGTTTGGTAATAATACGGAACAATGAAATACTGAATAGGAAAGGAGAATAGAGAAATGGTGCGTCGAAGCAAGGGTTGTCAGATATATGAGAGACGAAATTGTTTTTTTATTTTACCTGCTGCTCTAGACCTGATCCATTCTGGTTGGCTGCATTACTCATATTACTCCGCCTCGGTGCGTATTTTTCGTAGCTCTGCCGCAGAAGCTCTTTAGCTGTTTCTCGCCTAGACAATCACCAAGCAAAAAATTTTAATTGTTCACTCCTTTCCTCTCTCCTTCCGCTCCTTGCTGATCTACGAACGAAACTTGTCGATTAAGTCGAGTAGTTATAATTACAATTTCTGCTTGTCGCTACTTCGATGCAAAGGAAATTCGAAGACTGGCTACTATGAAAGGCCTCTGGCCACACTTGACGTCGACGCAACAAAAATGGCCGAGCGCCGAATATTGCTAGCAAGATGGCTGACAATTTATTTCCGCCGGATATTGCGAAAACTAACAGAGCACACTCTGCTGGACAATTTTCCTGACATATATCATTCCTATTATTCTCACAAAACAAACTTTAAACCTTAGATTTATACTTTATACATGATATAGAAATAGAGTCTGTGAACACATTTTTGTTACCCTTTCAATTTAATCCTAGTTAGTATCTATGTTCAAGGTATTGATAACATCGACATATCAGAGCGAATTGCAGAGCAAGGTTCAGACTTTACTATGGAGTGCCTCCAAAGAACATTCAAAGAAAAACTACAATAGAACACTTGGTAAATTTCGAAAACTCTGAATGTTTAATAGAATCAAGTCAATAATACGAGATATGAAATAGGTATCCTAGGGAATACATAATTTTGTACACAAAGTAACGTTTTTTTTTAGTATTTTTATTTTATATGTTCCAAAATTTAATCAACGTTTAATCTAATCGTCCTTCTTGGTATCGGTTTTTCCTCCTCTGATTCTTCCGGTACGACGCGCAGCAATAAGACCAATCTTACGACCAGCGCTAGTTCCACGTTTAACCGTGGATGCTTTACCAATATGTTGATGGTTACCACCACCGTGAGGATGCTCAACTGGATTCATAGCAACACCACGAACCTAAAAGCATTAAAAGTATTTCAAATGCAATGAACTAATAGTATTAACTTATGGTAAACTTCAAGCTAGCTCAGTATAAAAATGTTCCACAATAAAATGTTCAGGTTTCAAATGTCTAAAAGCATCATTGAAAAATATTTACATTTGCAGTAGGATGTTTATGCTTATTGATATCATTATATACTGTACCTTTGGCCAGCAGTTCCTCTTTGCCTTGTACTTATGATAAGCACGACCAGCTTTAAGAATGGGTTTGTCAATACGTCCACCACCAGCGACAATGCCAACCATTGCTCTGTTGTTGGATGGAATAACTTTCTTAGCACCAGATGGCAACTTCACTCTGGTTTTCTTTGTATCAGGATTATGCGCAATAACTGTGGCATAGTTTCCAGATGCTCTGGCCAATCGGCCTCTGTCACCAGTTTTTTCCTCCAAATTACAAACAATGGTACCCTCAGGCATTTGACCAACAGGCATCACATTTCCAATCTGAAGATTTGCTGAAATATTGATTTCACTTTACTCGAGTATATTGACAAATTTCTAACAGTTTGAAGATTAACATAATTCAACATATATTTTCTATAACACATTCTAAAACATAAACATATATGTACCTTTCTTTCCACAGTACAGGAACTGTCCAGTGTACATTCCCTCAGGTGCAATAAATAATTCTTTCCTTGTCTTAAACTTGTATGGGTCACGGAAATGAACAATAGCTAAAGGTGCTCCACGACCAGGGTCATGAAGAATATCCTAGAAAAAGAAAATAATTGTTATAAGCAAATTACTTGTAATAAGAGTTCCTCTATAAAGCATAAAAACATTTTCAGAAAGAGCCTCTAATGTTTACTTCAACTTTAATCAGAGTAGGTATATTAGTATTCATCATTCATGTATTTTAAATTCACATACGCTTAAAAACTTTGAAAAATTTCTAAATGTAAAAATTACACAAACCTTCACAACACCCTTGATGTACCCATGCCTTTCAGAGAAATCTAGGGAACGAAGTTTAGGTGCTCCCTTTCTCCTTTTTGTGTGGGATCTGAAGACAGACCCAGCTCCCTTACGCTGAGCACGAATTACTCGACCCATGGTTTAAAACCTGCACAAAAACAATTAAATGTGATGAAATACTTGTTCCTTAAATCACCGACATCAACACGAAACGTGACATTATGGCTTGTTACTTGGCACAATATAACCTTAAAACGAAACAACTAAAATATAACACAATTCTCTTTTAACAAAATAAAATACTCATTAAAACATCTAGAGAATCAATTAAAATTCTCTAATCATAATAGTTTTAAACCAGATGCATGTTATTTTTACGAATTTAGGTGGATTTCAAGAGGAAAGAAAATAACAGATCCCATACCAAGTGAACCGATATCAAACAGAGAAAGACGCAGCCGGAAGTCGATCTATCTCGTGTTCTTCAAGTTGGTTGAACTGCATACCCGCCAAATTTCATTTATTTGTTACAAACTAAACTATGCGATAGAAATTCTAGTATGATTGATGAACAATTCGTGTAATCAAGTATGGAACTCGTTAATATATGACAATTTCAATATTCAAGACTTTGTTTAAATTTTATATCATATTCATTGTCCATACTGGTACGGGTTTTATCAATATAGTTATAGATTAGAGGCCAGAGAAGTCGATTTACTGTTTATTTTGGTATCGCTATTCGAAATATACAAACGTGCTTGTAGAAAAAAGAAAACGAAAAAAATTGTTGGTGGCAGATCAGAGTGCACAAACTTTGTTCGATGAACCAGTTGTCTATGTGAAACAAAATAATCGACAAGCACGTATATTTACGATACCCAAGATCCTAAAATAAAGAATATTACGTTTTTAGTTACCTACTGTTACCTATGATTTTGGAAAGTTCCAGTGGGTGAATATCGATTCCAACCTCTTGTCCCTAACCGAGCAGCATTAGGCAACAACATTGTTGGAAGTGAAAATTTTCTCTTTTTGAACGTTTTACGCGATGCTCCCAGATTCTAGCGAATACAATATAGACTCATGGGGGTGATTTTCAGAAGGGTGCGACCTACCAATACGAAATGGGAAATGTGATCAGGAAAAAGTAGTATAATATATGTAGTTGTTTCGAACTAGAATTATATACATCGATGGGTAACATTTGGTAATCATTAAAAATTTCTGTTTATTATTGTCTAAATTATGTCATCCATTTATCTTTATGTTATATTTGTTATCTAAAATATTATCAGCTATATTATCTGAAATTATTTGTCACCCTATGTGCAAAAAGTTAATCACGCTTATATAAGCGTATTATACGCATATTGCAGTAGCGGATCCATAGAGGGCTCCCTGGAGTAATTAAATATAAAAATATTATATCACGTATGCTTGTAAAAATTGGTTTAATGAAATATATATAATTTTACATATTTCGCCCACCCCTTCCTCAAGACATACTCTTGGATCCGCCATTATGTATTTGGAAGTGAAGTAACTCATATGTGATTATTGAATCTTTAAGTATTTTAATTAAAGAAAAAGTCATTTTACTTTATGATTTAAATTCAGTAAAATTAACCAAGAAAATCTTTGCAGTGATCAAGTATTTCGATTTATATATTGGTTTATTAGGTTTATTATACAATGGACTCTTTATATTGCCGCTCGATGTATGGCCGCGCAAGCCACTTTCCTTTCACACGTACTTTTACGTACACAAATATCACTCTCCCACCGCGTTGCGTACGCCGTTTCCTAACCGTTCGTGTCATTGTTTTTACGTTTTGATCTATTTAATTAAACCCGTAAAAACAAGTGAAATTTTCAATATTTATTTTGATTTCTATCGACGTGAAAAAACGATGAACCCTCTTGAAGAAAAGTTTATAATAAAGTCTGAAAAAGATGAGAAAGATATTAACAACGTAAAAGAGTGTTCGTTAAAAATGAAACGTAAAAATATCAGTATTTTAGAGAAGTTGCAGATTATAAAAGAATTTGATGAAGGCACATCGACGAGAGAATTAAATAAAAAATATAATATTCCAAGTAGAACCATAAGAAATTATATAGCTACTAGAGAGAAATTAGAACAATACAGGACTTCCATTCTATCAAACAGTGCCAAAAGAATAAAAGCAACGGCTTTTAATAACCTTGATGAAGCATTGTATATATGGTATAATCAAAATATTAAGTGTGGTACATCACTTACAGGTCCTTTAATTATGGGTAAATATTCGGTTTAATACAGTATTTCTTATATAGTTCTTAACATATTTGTTTATTTTATTTATTAAAGTGATAAATAATGATAAAATTATAAAGTGATTGTTTATTTTTTTTCATTAATTTTCTTATTTGATTTTTTGTTCTTTCAACCAAAACAAGGTATGTTTGGTCAAAAAAAAAACTAAAATGATAATAGAAGTATGAAATATTTGAAATCAGTAAGCTATGTTTATGCAAGATAGATATAACATAAATGAACCTTCTCTTTTACTTTTTGTTTTTCATAAATGTAATAATTTTTCAGCAAAAGCTTTAGAATTGCACCGAGATCTTAATATAGCAAAAGATTTTGTTGCTAGTGAAGGATGGTTGAGTAACTGGAAGAAAAAATATGGTATTCGTTTATATGGTGTTAGTGGAGAAAAATTATCTGATGCAGCTAATTGTAACAATTTTAATGATTTTAAACGTGAATTTAAGAAAACAATACAAGAAGAGCAACTAGATTTGTGTCAAATTTTTAATGCTTATGAAACTAAATTGAATTACAAAATGATGCCAAAAAGAATGTTAGATACGAAGTTCCAGTCTACACCAACAGATTTAAAAGAAAATAAAGATTATGTGACGGTAATGGTATGCAGTAATGCAGATGGAACTTTTAAGCTACCATTGCTTGTTATAGGCAAAACTGCTAAGTGTAGAGCAATAAAAAACATGTCAGAATCGTCACTTCCCGTATATTACACACATCAAAGAAGTGCTTGGATGAATGCACATATTTTTGAAGTATGGTTCAAGGAGGAATTCGTGCCTAGAGTGACAAAATTTTTAACTGAAAAAGGCCTTTCTACGAAAGCTCTGCTGCTATTAGATAGTGTACCTTGTCATCCAGCCTCTGAAATGCTGGCTGTAGGTGATATTAAAGTTAAATATTTACCATCCAACACAACGTCAGTAATGCAGCTGATGGACCAGAGCATAATTGAGAATTTCAAAAGGTTTTATAGAACGTTATTTTTACTCTCCATACTTACAGCTCAGAAAAATAGTATTCATTTCACTGAATATTTGAAATCAATAAGTATTGAGAATGTTGTATGTTGGATGGGCGATGCTTGGGATTCTGTTAAAAAAGAAACTATTTCTAAATGTTGGAATGAATTCTTACAACCTGGTTTCTGGTATGTTAATGTAAATGTAGATGATAATATGACAAATGAGGAAATTTTGTATAATTTTCAAAAACTTTATGAATATGAAGATATTACTTATGATCAAGTACAAAACTGGATTCATTCAAATGATGAAGAGTCAAACATACCAACAAATTCTGAATTGATTGCCATGGTCACACCGGATGATGTTGAAGGTAAATTTCATTTAAAAAATTTGTATATATTTATTAAGATAATGTAGAAATAATTTTTATGAACAAAATTTTAATTGTTGACATTTAAATCTGCCTTTTTGTTCTTAAGTAATTAAAATGTTTAACTTACATAGTACTGTGTCTAATAAGGAAGGCTTTGTTTTTTTAAAAACAGTTTACGTTTCTTATTAAACTAATACTGCAATCTTAAATATTGATAATTTTACAATTTAGATTTCCTTTAATTATTTGTTTAAAAGAAATTTTGTTTATTTCTGTAGGAAATAATGATGGCAAATTAACTGAAATAATAAAGCCGGAAGAGGCTGTGTCAGCAGCCAACACACTAATATCTTTTTTCGAAAAGAATGAATTGTTATCTACAACAGAACTGGCTACATTAAGAAAAGCAAAATATATTGCAATGAAATTAGCTATTGAAAATGATAGTTGTTAATATTTTAAAGTAACAATTATTTGCCATTTTTGCATACATATATTTTATTACGAGAATACAGTACGGAATTATAAAAATGCACATTGCAATACTGGAAGATGAGACAAATGAATGTACGGAAAATACCACCGCATGCACGTGTTAAAATTTCGCGTGTGCTTCCCTACCGGCACAGTCCAGCTCTTACGCAGCCGCTAGAGCCGGGGTTACGACGGCAGAACTTAGCATGGACAGGGCTTCATGCTTTGCCGATTCCGAGAATTTACCTCTCCTACAGCCTCGGCCGCAGTCATGTATGAAGAGTCCACTGTAATTTGAGATATTAGATTCACAATATCAACAACTAAAGTCTAAACAAATGTATGCAGGATTTCTGAATACTAACATGAAAGAATTGCTGTGCAATAATGTTATATTTGACATGAAACTGACAGTTAAGTGGATAGAGGATTACATTGAGTATTTTGATGAAAATCCAAAGAGAATCATTACGTTCGATCATGGCATGGGATGCACTTTTGCTTTAATGCTTGCATTATTTAAATTATCGAGAAATAAATGGAAATAAATATAATGCAACAGTTTCATAATAATGTCACACGATTCATCAATGTGTGTTGTGTATTTTGAAATGGACTTAGGGATCCTTCAACAACTGAACAGTACATCACTTTGAAAAATTGATATTCAATAACTAATGTAATTGACATAGCTCGTTACCTTCGAGCAATACCAGTTGAAAAGTTGATACAAGTTCATTCTAGTTTAGATAGCATTTGCTGCAGTATGGAAGATTTTATTTCTAGTTTATCAGGTTTATTGGGACATGACTCTGTGATTGAGGGTTCTGATGATGAAAGGTATCGTCGACGACAGTTTGTTTACTATTTTACTTTCGTTTAGACTCATCACTTTATTCGTAATTATTTAAGGTCCATTTACAATTTTATTACCAAAACAACAGAAGATTCTTTAATAGCTGGAAACATCCCGCCAATACTGTTATTAACAGGAATACCGATTTAAGGGGTGCAGTGTTTGGTGATTACAGACCTGAGATTCAAAATAAACTACGAATTCTTGTAGATTTCTCGAACAAACGTCTCATTCCAAGATTACAAAGAACTGTTTCTAATTTTGGTACTGCAACGCGTTTTCCACAGGGTACATTCAGTAAGTATCTTGATGTTTTTAAAAATGGTGACGGGTCTGTTAATATTTCTAAAGTAACAGAAGTTATGAAGGATCTTTGTATAATGTTTTATACTTTAGTGTGTACTTACCTTGCCTTTCTTACAGTGAATTGTTGGTCCAAAAAAACTAAAGCTTTCCTAAAAAACTTCCTAGTTGTCAAACACGTTTCAGATGGTGAATGTTCAAATAATAATTTCATAATGATAACAAGATAGTTCATCAAATTTCAGTTTAGTAAGTTATAATTTAAAAGTTCTCAATATTATAAAACATAATTTTAATGATTTTTCAGATATTACAAGTCACGACGATGAGTGAGGTTAATACAAAATTCAATTATTGGAGAGGTAACAGAAACTTTTTAAGAGCTAAATGAAGATAAATGCGTAAAAAACGTAGTTACAAACATAATAGCTGAATTTGCTAAAAATGGGTGACTATATGGCTGAATTCATTTACACTATTATTTCAAAACTTAGCATATTGCAACAACTTGAGTAAAGGGTGCAAGTAATTAGATAAACTGTAAGAAATTATACGAATATTTGTTTCGTAAATGTTATTTTACATATTATAAAATGAGCTTATGGACAGGTCTTACAGAACGATTACAGTCGCCAATATATAATATTTTTAAAACCATTTTTGAAATTGTAAAGTGTGGTATCAAAACGGTTGTACATACTATTAAAAATTTAGTTGCATTGTTTGAAGAAACTACTGTAAGTATTATACCTAATTTTACTATTCTAAAATTCAAATAAAAAATAATATCAAGGAATCTTCTAAGGATGTAAAATTTAAGGTAGCAGATAATATAACGTTTCCAGATGTATTTAGTTTCTGTAAATGATTTGAGTAAAAAAATGTTTAAATAGAAAAATAACAAAAAAACATGTTTATTTTGCATATAAAATATACAAAATGAATATAATTAATCGTTATCTTTTGGTACATCCTGAAACAATTGTAATATTTCCTCTTCTTCGTTTTCATTTTCTGCTGACGAATACTTTGGATCTGCTTCTGTCGTGTTTGAATCGTTTCGCAGATTTTGGTAAACGTCTTTTGAAGTATCTATTATTTCTTCATTTTCTTTAGCAGGATTTACTAATAATGTTGATTGCGTTTCTATGTCTACACTTTCTGATGAATGTTTTGCAACAAGTACCACTTCGGCCTCGTTTAATGATTTGTCAGTTATTTGTTTGGGTCCTACAGTTTCCATACTATTTTCTCGTGCCCTTAATAGTATTTCTTTTTCTGAAGGATTACTTGATACACGTAGTAAATTTTGATATGTTTGTTCTACCTGTAATTCAACTGCAATATTCTCTTTAGTAATCAAATCACTAATATTTGCAGTAGGTTCAACAGATTTATCAAGATCATCTGTTACTTTCATTCTTTTACTTGAAGATGGCGCTGTATCTTCATCTATGATATTCTCCTCGGGGTGAAAATTAATTGCTTTATTTTTTGTATTCGACGAAGACATTGTATCTTCAACTATTATATTTTCAGCATCAAGTGAACATACATCGTCTACTGTCTCAGTGTGTTCTGTACTTTGGTTATCGGCAACAAATTCTTTCTGTATTGTTCTGAAAAATATTGTCTTAAAATTATAACTTTTAACATATTAGAAGATTTTTAATTTTTACGTTCATATTTCTAATAGATGTATATATGTTTCTAACTTACTCTACTTGAGTTAACTGTATAGATGGCGCATGAGGATGTACAATTTTTTCTAGTTCTGCCAATGCTACTTTTGCCTCTTGCATAATGCATAAGTTGTTGTCGCATAAAGCCATTTCAAATATTTCTAAAGAATACTGTGTAGGCAACGGCACTGAGCAATGTGGATTCATTTGCAATGTTCTCAAAAGCCTCAGTAAATGTAAACGGCAATCAGAATTCTCTTTATAAAATTTGTGTTCTGTAGAACTCAGATAACAATCATATAATAGAGGTATTATAATATTTTGTATCGTCTGGAAACATTATCATTCTATCAAATATTTAATTAAAGAAGATGCAGAAAAACAACGAACCTTAACAAATGTTTGCTTTAAAAGAGTTCCACCATTGGAAAATATATTTTCCACTGCCATGAGAGATCCTTTACATACATCTACATCTAGGTAATATTCTTTGCTAGAAGTTAATCCATTAGTCAAATATACTCCTTCTTCATACTGATTATTTCGAAGACGTTTTAATTGTCTTTTTGACAAATTAGTCGTTTTCTGAATCTATAACCGAAGTTTTAGAGAAGTATATTCAAATTTATTTTATAATTGAAACTTAGATCGTCAAGTAACTTGTACTTACGGTTAATAAAACGCGATCTTTTTCTGGCACAATGTCTTTTAATATAGAAGGCAGATATTCATCTGCAATTGTTTCTACTCCTGATAGTGAATGAGTATTCGCTAACCAAGATGTAAGACATTTATAAACAGATATTCTTACATTTCTGAATGGTTTATTGCCACTAAAAGTTATCTGACTTTCTGTAACTTCTTCTGTCCATTGTAATGTTTGAAGAAACAGTTGTAATATTGTTGATCCAAATGGTATTAACTGCTCCTTAAATCTAAATATTTTGAGCTAATAAATTTTAGTTTAAATATTGTTTAAATATTATGTTTATGTAAGTGTTTTCTTACCCATATATTAATGCATCTAAAACATTAAATAAAGCGACATGCAACTGTGGTATGATAACGTATAAGAATTGATTCTTGAAGGATTCAAGATTTTTTACATTTGAAGGTTGTACTGCTAATCCTCTACATATAACTTTCAAAATCTCCTGGGTCAATACTGAATTTTTTTTATCAAATTCACTGCAAAGTATATATTATTAAATAAATAACATATTAAGATATTATGTACACTTTCAGTGTGTACTTACCGTAGCATATAAGCCAAATAAGAACAGAGATTTAAAAACCTTCGTTTTCTTTTAAAATAAGATTCAAAAATACTCTCTGCAGATATATGTGGTAATTCTAGTTTATCCAAAATGCTTACATTTTCTAATTCTACCAAATCAGAAAACAATACATTCATTATAATATGCAAATTATTACAAATAACTGCTTCATGATATAACCAGCCAGTGTAAGTGGGATTAGAAAGTGGTGGTTTAAATGTGCGTTCTGTTGCTTTAGCTAAAAGAGCATAACACCTTGCACTCGCATCAACTAAATTTTTTTGGGTAGAATCAACTTGTAGTAGCACTAGTTTCTTTATGATTGCCTGAAATAATAAAATCTTTAATATTTATTATAAATTTTCGTACCATAGTAAAGAAATTTCATTACCTGGAAACGCTCACAAACTTCTGGATATTGATGTAACAATACAGCAATTAAATAATATACTGAACCACATTTTTTTTCTGTATTTAAATTTCCAACTACAGATATAAGTTGTTTTACATTTTGCGTTGATATTTGTTTTTGAATTTCAGAGATCCCTTTTGTCCGTATAATTAATTGTCCAAGCACTTTACAAGAAATATTCAGTTCTTGTGGGACGCTGTGAATGCTTTCTAATACTTGTGTAGCTTTTGATATCCATAGAATACAATATTTTGAAACAATATCTTTTGAACAATGAGATAAAATCTTGTCCAAAATTACTAAACCATTGTATCTGGTACGTGCTTGATTTAAGTAATTATTGATAACTGATACAATAGCATTTTCTGTTCCATTAATCTGTAATAAAAATGATCTGGGTTCAATATGTTAAAATAATCTTTAACTGAATATAATAAAAAAACTATAAGGTTAGTTTAAATTTCTCTTTACCTGTTCTATATGAAATGGTATATCACCGTTAGAACATATTAAATCTTGTAAAAGTTCGTCGAATTCTTTTGATGAATGATCGTGACAATTAATTAATCCCATTATTGTTGCCATTGTTTTTACGTATATTTATATCACTATGTACACGTTGTTAGCAGTTGTTAGTTCGGTTAGTTCTCTTGGAGAGGTTAGATCACGGCCTGTTAACTCCCATTAGAATAGTATGGTCCAATCATATGGATACTCGACCTACTCTCAGTAGTTTCATTTGCTATCACTAGTTGGCGTATCGAAATTTTAACTTTCCCAATATACATACATATATACATACACATCATTCGATAGTACACATATACATAAAATACAAAAGTGAATGATAAATAATTATTAAATAAATTTATTTATTTATATATATTATAACTTGATTTAACATATGTTCCAGGTGAAATATATGTGGTTAACAAAAACAGAAACAATGTTTAAAAAACAATTTTATTTTCATTATATTTACATGCAAATGAAAAATGATGCATTGCTATTTAAACAATTTACAATAACATGGTATATAAAAAATATGTACGTGTACATTATAAATAATCATATACAGTAAATCCTCGATGAGTGTTCGAAGGCTCCTCAGCGCTGAACATGAAATATTTCATAAACTAATGGCTATACATAAGTATGCCTATACATAAGTGTGCACTGTGTTAAACCTCATTATAAAAGTCAACGTTACATCTGGGGACCTCTCCTTGTCAGTGCCGAGGAGCCTTCGAGCATTCATCGATGATTTGCTGTACATTTTAGCTTTTTTTATTTGTCTATTATACGAAATTCGTTGCAGTTATAGTATTCATTTGTTTCCACAAAGACTATAGTTAGATTCAAGCGTACCGTTATTATTGAATAATAGTGATCCACACTGGGATGATTATTTATAATGTTTTATATATTTTTCAATCTGTGTGCATTTGTAAATATCTTCACAACACTTTCATAAATTGTGCGTATACAGATAGTTAGAGCACAGCAAACTGTGTGAATATTTTCCGCGACGCGATTGGCCTCAATCGCAAAAGGAATTATTATGTAATTTTGCGGTGCACTCGGTGGTGACGGTATAGATATTTCTTCTCGTTTCATGAATGCACATAATCACGAAAACGAACATTTCCTTTGAAATTCTTTCCCCTATCGATCGTAATAATAACTTCCTATCAAAAGTGATATAAGAACTAGAAGAGATGTACAATAATCACAGTAAATGTTTCTTGCATTAAATTGATTTAATAGGCTGTTTTTATAACATATGAGGCTCATACAAAGGAATAATTATGTTTGTGGCTATTGATACTTGGCGGAAGAGAAGCGGAAGCGGAAATTGGAAACGTGGCGACATATTAGGTTATTGATTTCAATACTTAAAAAACGTCGATGATATTTCAGTATGTATAAAAGTACAAAATTGAATAGCAAATTATAGATAGTTAATTTCGTATCTATAAATAAAAATAGATGTGCTCATTTAACATACACGAACACAATTGAAAACTTTTGTGTATATACATTGCACAGAATTAAATTGCAGATGTGTATAAAAAATTATTTACAAAAATGGGAATTCAATAGAAATTTATTTCCACTATTTAACACTAAACCTACCACGACCGGTCAAAATGACCGGTTTTGACGTACTAATTCCTACCTCTTTAAAGAGTTCGGTGGGTTTAGTGTTAAGACTCTATTAGACTAAAAATTTTAGTAAAACTTCTTACTTATTCAGTTAAGCATCTGTGTAATGAAGCAACTGTATAATGAACAGTTAGCTTGATCCTATTTTTTTAAACAGATTTCTATGTTTTATAATTCTTTATGTCATATTTTAACTTGTCGTATAAAGAACTATTTTATTACTTTTAGAGCTAAAAAGTTTTGAACGCGAAAACAGAGCGAATAATGCTATTAACAATATTGTTATATACACTTAATCTTAATATCTTTTAATTCCAGATGATACAACAATTCTGTACTGCAGTCAAAGTGAAAAAAGGAAATGTTAGTCACGCATTGTAATTTTAAACAAGAGAACCGTGTTACGCCTGGCTATTTAAGAATAAATCGTTCCTGCATCATTTATTGCATTACAATTTTATTTAATGGTACAGATAGAAAACGAGTTTGAGATTCAATAATATACTGAAATCTAAAGTAAAACCTTATATCCCAACATTATAATTTCTTTAATTTATAATAATTATTATAATTGAACAGTATAGTATTAATTATTATCAATACCATTATACGAGAATTTTCGTGAAACTTTAATACAAGTGAGAAACATTTACAATTTTTCATAACTCTCTTGTTATGATTTTTCCTCGATTACAGACCAATTCCCGGAAGTATCTTCTGTCAGCCTGAGTTTTATACGTTAACGTACGATAAAAGCTGTAAAGATGAAAGGAAAACGATAAAGGCGAACCTATCGTGATTATCCGTAATCTAAACGGTGTGCCGCAAAACTCCTTGGGCAAGGTCAAGATTAAAGATAATTCTGTTGCGTCGAAAAGAAAACTTGTGCGGTTTTCAAGTAACGATGTGCACCGTTTTATTGCTGGAATATTTTTCACGGTAACGCGATAATGAATTCGTTCGCCTTATAATTTATACTTCATTTTGTTGCGGAATTCAGGATTATAAATTATGCAAGAAAGATTGATGACGATGAATTTTGAAATATATTCATCGGTAGACGAACTTGTATTAGAGAAGTATAATTCCTGGTTATGGACTAATTAGTAGTTATGCACTGAAAATGTGTTAATTATTAAGAACTAGTATCAGCATGCCGTTATTCGCGTTACTATACAATACTATAGAGTACTATAGAGTTGCTATACTCTTGTATGAGCAGTTATTACATTACATGACACAAGATTGATAATTTTGTGAATTATTAATAAAAGTATCATGTTTATAAATGTACGCGTCTATAAACTAATGAAAATAGTGTGTAATTGTATACATTAACACGTTGGCGCTCGATTTTTGGTCTGATCACCTATATGGCTGGAGTCCGTAACCTAACGTGTTAAGCAAGAAAAATTCCCAGCTTATTGATATTAATGAATGATGAGAACAATAGACGTAATGTTTCATGAAACTTTGTTACATAATACGTTACTACTTTTAATTAATTATATATCGATAAATAGTTTCTGCTTTCTTATTTTAAAAATACTTTATTTTAATACATATTTTTAGCTAGTGAATTATCAAAAACCTTAGAATCATTTCAGTCCGATTTCATAATCATTCATTTTACCACAAAATGTTCTCTTGTTTTTTAAATAAATACATTGTTATTCGATTATTTAACCACTGTATCCAGTGTTTACGCATCAACGAATTTTGATAAAATATTTATTTGAAATAATTATCTAACCACTGTTGTATCATATTTAATTACACATTTGTTATTGTTGAATTTCCTTTTCCTTATTCTTATTTGCTATTTCTTTATTACAGTCTGATTTGATCAATCCTGTCTTTCTTAATACAACATTTTATCCATTCATTATTACACCCAAACAGATAACATACTAAAAGTTCCAACGACCAATGACGCAGTGCATTACGTACTTTTAGTTAGCAAAGGTGGGAGTCATTGACGTATGTATCTACAACATGGTCTCTATACTAGGGCAGACCATAATTGTTTAGTCTACAGTTATGTTACTGTTCATGTTAGTCCGTAATAATATTTATATTTCTTAGAACTGGACTGCGGCTATTAAACACTAACTTACAATTTTATGGTCTAATTCATGAAAACTGAAATAAAGTAGAAATCCGTCAATTTGATTAATTATTTTATTAGGTAAATAAACCAATAATAAATGTGTTGACATTTATAAACGCTTTTATTTTTTACAGTTACATTTATTAATGTATAAAATATTATACTTTAATTATTACGTATAGTTATGTAGTAGGAGTACCACACATATTCGAGCGTCTGACACAGTATCGCATTTTTTGTTATATGTAAGCTCATATGTATATCTCCATCGTCGGACGGTAAAGGTCAAGACAAAGGATACTCGACGTGTGAATATCCTTGGTTATATAACCATTGATTTTCCTTTTTCAAATATCCGGCTCGCATCGATGTATGCTAACAGGTAATATCATCCAGGGGCAATTGTTTACTTCCCACATCGTGAATATCCTATTCATGAAAACCACATATTGCTAAAAAAAATACGATCTGGAAGACAGATGGAGTAATGATCAGAAACCGAAAGCAATAACTCGTAAAAAACATTAACTTTTAGGCTGCCTGGAGTACATATGCCTTTTTGGACATTGGCGAAACTCGAAATTGAACGCCATGCATATCGTTGCTCTAGTTCTTATGTAATTGTTCCTATCTCCGCTAGTTTCTAAACTGAGAAAACTGAGTTTAATGTTTACGAAGTTTGATATTATAGAAACAGAAATGTAGTGAAATAATCAAACACACTATATAATACTATCTACTGAATAGTTATTTATTAGAATATGTAACAAAATTTCATCTTATTATCAACATAAATTTTTAATTGTTGTTAGTATTTGGAGACACAACCATTAAGAAAAAAAAAACTTTCAAAGTTTCGGAGTTAGAACTTACAAGAATATTTGTTGTTTTCTAGGTTGAATTTTCTTTATATTGTGGTGAACTTGTATTCTACGGACCAATGAGACGCATATAGATTGATTAACTAAAGTTTGTTGAAAAATGGAGTTAGAACAATTAAGAACTCGAGCGACGATAAGTTATATGTTATATGTATATGAGGGGGTTAAAGTCATAGTAGTGTAAGTCATAGTCGTGCTGTTTCCCGTAAAATGGTGTTTTGCATTTATTGTTTAAAAAAATTCCATATACCTATTGAAGTTTTAAAAACACGTTTGTAGGTTCAAAAAACTATTGAAAAAATGTCTGCGCGTGAAAATTGAAATACAAAACGGATTTTGTACAATCTAGAAGCGAATTGAGTAATTAAAATTGTCTTACATCACTGTTTCTAAATATTTTGGTTTGCAAAAGTAATAAGTACAGTAATATTTTTAAGAAACGAAGCTTTTTTATTAATT